AAGAAATGGAGCCAAACTTTGTCATACAGAATTTGTCCTTCCTTTGGACTGGGCTGACACCTTTGAGGTATCTGGAGCTTATTTTTCCTGACTCGGTGTCCCTGAAATTGGTGGACCTGGAGGCCTTCTCCAGCTCAGGTTTAGTTTTTGTGATGAAGACTTCATGGTTGGTGCCAAGGGCTCATCACATCCCTCTGGGGACTGTTAATGTCCGGTGAGATGTCAGAGTGACTCAGGCAGTAAGGGTGTTGTCAGCTTCCATTATAACAAGCAACCTCTGGATGGTTCTGCGCGCCTGCTTTATAAAGCAGTTGACTGAGAGTCTATTATTCACTAATGAGTGAGAGGCCCCATGTGGGCAAATGATCATAATCAAATTGCTGCCAACAGTGGCTGCTTTAAGTGTTGGGAGATGAACTGTTTTCATTTTGTGGGCTTCATTTTTTTTCTAGAATCGAGACAGAGGAAATCCTGCCTGTACATGCCCAACCAGGCTGAGACAGACAGGGCAGAACCTGGAAGGAAGATGGCAAGTCTAGATTCCAGGACGGGCAGCCAGGGGTGCTCAGAGAATGGTGGCAGTGACCATGGGTGCTGTGTGCGATCTGCTCCCCACCCCCCACCGCCCCACGGCCTCCCGGGCCCCCTCCTCTGCCCCAGCCTGTGTTGTAACCAAAGCTGGGAGGCCAAAGACCCCTTCTTCTAGGATTTGGGGTCTTGAACAGAATCCCCCCCACCCCAGGAGTCTCCTGTGCACGGAGGCACACACCTCTCGTCTGTGCCCCCAGGTTTCCAGCAGTGGCACTTCATGCCAGCATGCTGGCATCCCAGGCCGGCCTTGTCCAGTGCCTGGCACATGAGCTGAATAGGTGTTAGTGGGACGAGTGTGCCACATTGCTTAGAGCGGGCGGGGGCTCCCAGACACTCTTGCAACATCTGCAACAGAGAATGTGGTCGCAGCTTCCAGGCCCTCCAGTCTAACCTGCCTGCTGCCACCTCTTGTGAGCCAGGACATTCTTCCCTGGCTCAGGACAGCAGGAACAGCCTTCCCTGAACGCCCTCTGTCCCCCACCTGGGCCAGGGCGTCCACTCCTGGACAGTCCCCCACCTGTCCTGCCCTGCCCTGTACAGAATCCAATGAAAAAGGGGGGCTCAGGGTACAGCATTTGAAGAAGACAGAGAGGGATACTCACCTTCCCTGTGGACTTAGGAGCCAGACGCTGTTGTCACTGGTTGGCCTCGGGGTCTAACTTATATCCAGGTAAGTCGCACGTTCTTTCTTTAGAAATGTCAATACCATATGGGTCCGCTCCCTGGCCAGGGATGGAACTTGTGCTGCAGTGGCTTTGTAGTGCTGAGATTTAACCCCTGAGCCAGCAGGGAGGCCCTCAGGGCATAGCAGACCTCTCCTGTCTCCCCGCTGTCCCCTCAGCAGTGGATTTCAGTCCATCTGCCTGTTCTGCTCCCGCCTTTGTCTCTGGTGAGTCCTCTTGCCACCCCTGCACCTCTGGCCTATACCCCAGTTCTGTTTGCATAAATAAGTAAAATCTTGTTTAAAAAAATGTTTTTAAAAGTGTGAACAAGAGATAAAGAAAATGATTACTATTCTTATAGGTGTAGTTTTGGGGTTTAAAAAATTAATGTTAATATCTTGAGTGGAACAAACAAAATGTTAACCTGTAAGCCAGTGGAAGGGATGCATCTGTTGAAGGTCTTGATGGCAAACAGCAGCAAAAGACTGGCAGAAAAGGCCGTGGGGAGCTCAGATTACCCACAGGGACCTTGGGAAAGCTGATTGGAAAAACAGGCCGGAACCGAGAAAGTCTGAGCAGCATGAACCCCACGAGCTGCCTTGAAGGATGTGGCTGTCAGTGCCCGCCGCTGCTGCTCCTGGCCCGTGGGCTTGGGCTCCCGCCTCTGGCTGGGTGTCCCGCAGGGCCATTCGCTGGCTGAGTGCAAATTGGGGCCAGACAGGGGACTCCCCAGTGGACTGTCCCGAGCCTTTCAGTGTCTGTAGTGGGACCAGGGCTTGATCTGCCACCAAGTGTCACCCACGAGGGGCCCGGCCCACAGAGGAAGGCAGAGCACATGCAGGGAGGTCCTCACTGCGTGGACAGCTTGGGGCGAGGGGAACTCGGCAAGACTGGGGGATACCAGCATGTGGGGCTGGGAAATGCCCGCACCAACGGGTGTGTGTGGTGGGCGGAGAGATCCAGGCCCCAAAGGAGAGGAAGACTCAAAGGCACTGACAGATGGACGGCGGGAAGCAGAGCAGTCAAGGATCCCGACGGCCAGATGAGGGTGGGGGTAAATCTATCGTGGGGGTGGCTGGAAGGAGGCAGCTGCGGTCAAGCGCTCACATCCAGTCGCGGAAAATAGATGACAGACAGACAGATAGGAGCACGTAAGGACAAAAACCAGAAATGTCACCACTGAAGAAATACACTTAGGGCCCGCCCTGGTGGCACGACAGGCCAAAGCACAGCACCATGAAGCTAGCCACGGCCGCTGGAGCGCGGGTTCCCACCCCCGCCAGGGAGGTGACCCCACGGCGCGGCAGACCTCCCCTGTCCCCCTCAGCAGTGGACTTCTCACTCAATCTGCCTGTTGTGCTCCCCGCTCTGTCTCTGGGAGTCTTCTCATCCCCTGCACCTCTGGCCTGTACCCCAGTTATGCATGCATAAATAGATAAATCTTTTTAAAAGAAAAATACACATAAGGGTTCACACTTCCAGAAATGGGGAAACTCCTGGAGGTCCCGGAGTGAAGAGGACCAGAGCACCAAACGGCCAGGATGCACGAGGGATCTCCAGAGCTGTGGACGCGGCCCCGGGGAGCGCACGTAACCCTGGACAATGACAGGGCTGGAGCAGACTGGAAGCAGGGAGACTCGGGTGACCGGCCAGTAGCTTGGGGGATCCAGGCCAGGGGGCGGCCCGGGGACTCAGGAGGAGGCTGCATCCTCTTCCCACGGCAGCCAGTGCTCTGAAGGAGGGACCCACCTGCTGACTTGTGGGAACCCAGGGCGGGCGCTGAGGGAGCCGAGCGAGGCGCCCGCAGGTAATTTCATCCCTGCGCCAAAGCCGGGGTGGCACTGGGTGGCTAGTGCGACTGACCGTGCCATGCCCAAGCCGTGGGTGCTCTCTGCGCCCCTAATGCAGTCTTGCCTTGACCAAATGGAGGCCACGTTCCCGAGACCGTAAGTGGCTCATGGGTGCCCAGCGGGAAGTGTGGGGCCTGGCCACTCCCGCCACGTCGCCCCAAGGCGCCCTGGGAGCTGGCCGCTCTGACGGCCTCTTACTGGCTCCTTTCTCCAAAGAACTCCCTCCTTGCCCTGCAGACGGGGAGCAAAGCTAGGGGTGATTTTCTTTGTTTTCCCCTTAGATTTAACCATTTCTATTTTCAAAGGTGGTAAAACAGGCCCTCCCTGGTGGCGCAAAGGCTAAAGCGCAGCCCTGTGAAGCTGTCCGCAGCCTCTGGAGCGCAAGTTCAGTCCCCCCCAGGCAGTGACCCCCAGGGCGCAGCAGGTCCCTCCTGTCTCCCTGCTGCTCCCCCCAGCAGTGGAGTTCAGTAGATCTGACTGTTCTGCTCCCCAGTGTCTCTGGTGAATCTCCTCACACCCCACACCTCTGGCCTGTCCCCTAGCTCTGTGTGCATAAACAAATACATCTTTAAAAATAATAAATAAAGATGGGAAAACGTGCATAACACAAATGTACCGTCATAACCATGTATTGTAGGGTCACTGCTGTGCCAGTATATTCACAAGCCGTGTAACGCACCCCCGGGACATTTCCCAGCGCTCCCTCCCCCTGCCCCAGCCCTTGGCAAGGGAGGTTTTGAATTTTTAAAAATCCTCTTCATTTTGCTTATTTGTACTTTCCAAAGTTTCTACAATGAGCATTTGTTTTTGCAATTGAATTTCAAAGCCCCAGGCCTTTACCAGCGGCCTGGATGCGTCCCCCACTTGGCGGGCAGGGAACCTGAGGCCTGGGCGAGAGCAGCAGGTGTGCAGAACTGGGGTGCAGGTCGCCTCCTCCCCAAGCTCCCTGCTGGGGAGGCCAGGCTTCCTCCTGCGGTGTCCTGGAGGAGGGCCGGGCCCAGGGCCGGGGTCCTGCCTGAGCCCCAAGTTGGCCCACAGGGGTTCAGAATGTGGCTTCACTTCAGGATTCTCCTGTCCTTGTCCCACTTCACCGAGCCCGAGCAAAAATGTTCCTCCGGTCACTCCTTGCCCTTGCCTGGCCTGTGTCTTTTGCCCACAGAGCAAGCCGGTGTGGGGGTGAGGAGGAGGCAGGCAGGGGGCCTCTGCCCACAGACGCCCACATAGGTGTGACACCCACCGGTCCTGGGACAAGCACAGGAGCTACCTGAGGGGCTCTGGGGCTCGGACAGGGGCACAGGTCAGGGTGGGCAGGAGTAGGGAAGTGATGTGGACCGAGAGTCGTTTCGGCCCTGTTAGCCTGATGGCAACAGTGGGTTTTGTTTCAGGCCTCGCTGTAGCACAAGCACAGAAAACTACGGCCAGGGTGCCAAGTGTGACCGCGCAGAATGCCAGGCCCCTTTCGTTTTGCAGACAGGTCTGGAAAGAGGCTGGCTTGCTGCCAGAGGGCCAGATGGTGGCAGCAGGGCTGGGGCAGGAACCGGGTCCCCTGGATTCCTGGCACCCCTGAACAAGTGGAGGTGCAAGAAGAGAAGGAGTCAGGGGCCAAAGAGGGGCCTCAGGTGCAGGCTGAGAGCCAGAAAGGGACAGAAGGGACAGAATGCGCACAGCTCAAGAAGTGGCTGAGCCTCCATGCCAGCCTAGAAGTTATCTCAGCAGCGTCCCTCAACGGCCCACCACGGGGCCTGCGCTCGCTCCCCAGCCAGGGAGGGACCCCAGGGCACAGAGGCCTCTCCTGTCTCCCACTGCTCCCCTCAGCAGTGTGTTTCAGTAACCCACCTGTTCTGTTCCCCACTCTGTCTCTGGTAAGTCCTCTCAGCCCTGCGCTTCTGGCCTGCACCCCAGTTCTTCTATGCAAAAATAAAAGAAAATCTTAGAAGAAAAAAAAGAAAGAAAGAAAGAAGAAATGATCAGGGAAGACAGGGCCCCTTGGAAACATCAGGAGCTAGGGTGGCGTTGGGGGGGTCCCTGATGGAGGGCTGCTGTGCCAGTGACCGACTGTAACTGGGGGCTCGGGGGTCCAGAAGCCAGGCGGCAGCTTTCTGCCCCTCCAGTGGCTGGGTGGGGTGCGTCATGGAGGCGCTGGTCTAGGCTGAAGGGGGGCGGGACGCAAACAGGACGTGTGAATGTTGCTTTCCTCCTACAGGTGTGGCTCCCCGAGGCTCCCCTCAGGAGGGGTCCGCCTCTGGCTGCCCCGCAGGGCCCCCCTTCTCAGCCACAGGGTGGATCCTGTTGCTTGGGGAGCCCACATCACACAGGGTGCTGCCTGTGATCACCCGGCTGAAGCTGTGGGAGCTGCCGCGGGGCCTGAGGCGGCGGCAGCGGCTGCCCAGGCACAGGGTGTCCTGGAAGGTCTCCCGGAAGCGGCTGGACATGAGGCTGTACAGCACGGGGTTGGCGGCCGAGCTGAGGTAGAAGAAGACGCCGGAGACGACGTGCACGTACTGGAAGGCCAGCTGCAGGTCTTCCATCCCGGGGGATATGAAGCTCCACATGAGGCGGTCCACGTGGAACGGGGCCCAGCAGATCCCAAACACCACGACCAGCACAACTGAGGACAGAGAAGGGGGTCGGTGCCCGCACGGCCACCCCACTGACACCACCCGGCTTCACTGTCCTCAACTACTCCACAGGACACCCACTCCCACTGGCCACCTGGACGTTTCTGGATGTTTGTCTGCCCTGTCCCCCATCCCTTTCAATCGCCCCGATCTCACCTCTGCCTCGGTGCCTCACCCCAGGTCACGGTCAACTGGACCAGACTGATTCTCTGTGTGGACTCAGCTGTGATTGCTGAGCCCCAGGGGGACACAGGCAGGGGCCCCCTGGGTGGGGGCTGTGCTCACTGATACATAAGCAGAGAGAAGCAGACAAACGGGGCCCCTGCCCCCACAGTAAGGCAGGGAGTTTGGGGGCCAGAGAGAGCAAGACAAACCCCCCAAGCTATGCCTGCCCCAGCCCCAGAAGCCTTCCCAGGCCCAGTCTCCAGCCCCCAGTGTTAACTCACCTTAGAGGGACTGGCCACACTCACTCGCCAGAGCTTCCCACCTGGTCACCCCGCCTGCCCTTCCTGGGGCCTCTGCCACCAGCCTGCTTGACTGTTGTGCCCTGCTCTGCACAAACCCCCACTTCCAGTGGTGTCTCCCATCACACCCAGAGTGCTCCACACTTGTGGCCTGGGTTTCATTTGGGATGTGGCTTGGGACATCCCCCAGCACACAGCCAGGGGCAGAGCAGGTCCTCGGGGAAGGGAGAAGGAGGGAGAGAGGACAGCCAGAGCCCCAGGCCAGCAGGCAAGGAGGGGTCAGGTCCTGCACACGTGACCCGGGGCTCTGGGACACTGTTCTGGGGGGGTGTGTGTGAGAAGAGTGGGTCTTTTCTGGGTATGAGGTCCCCCCAGTTAGTTCTCCAAGGTCGGTCCAGCCCTAGCTCACCCCACCTTCCTGACTGAGGGTCAGCTGGGGCCCGGCAGGGGAGGGAGGGCACCCGTGATTGGCTGTGTCAGGTTGTCTTGCCTCCCCAGGATCTGAATCAGGTCTAAGCCACAGGAAGATCAGAGCCCCACCCGGCTGGGCCTGTGGCAACCCACACTGCCCTGGCTCTCCCCGAGCAGCACCCCAACCCGGCACTTCCAGGCACGTTCCAGGGGGCCCGTTCAGACAAGGGCGTCCTGTGGTTCTCCAGCGACCAGGGACAGCGTGGAGGCAATTCGTTATTACGACGCTCCAGCATCCTGCTCCCCTTCGTTTGGGAACATTGCTCCCCCAGGATCCAGGATCCCACCTCCCTGGGGACTTCACACATCCTGGGCCTCCTGCCACTCTGTGGGGTGGGCGATGACCTGAGCCTGCTAATCAGAACCCTTCTCTGGGCTTTGCAACAGTCACTGAGGGAAGAGGGCAAGAGGGCAGCAACTCAGGAAAGGGGAACGCT